GTTCTATCCCAAACATTGAACCGTCGGGTGCCTTAAAATAGTTCCCTTCTTTATCAAGACTAACACTTGCGCCTCTCGCAATTGCAGCGGAAACTGAAAAGATATTTTGTTTGTACGACGGTATGTACAAAGCGTTGTCAAGAACCACATCCCTTAATTTTCCATTAACGTCATACAGCTTAACTTTGGCATTTCCCCTGCCCATACACACGTTTGCCTTACTCCCATCAGCTAATTCAATAAAGTGGCTACTGGCATTAAATTTGCCATCAAAATCTACGAATTTCTCGCGATCTACAATTATGTGGCTAGTTGCCCCAGTATCTAATAGTAGATTTGGAGTTATCTTACCTCTAGTACTTAATTCCTGTTCATTAAAAGTAAATGCAAAACTATGTGAGCTAGTAATGTTCTCCTCGTTTTCTGCTGACTTCTTTGCTGCGTCTTTGGCAGGCTTCAGTTTTCTACAGTCCCTTGTGCTGTGGGTGGAGTTTTTGCATTTGTGACACCACTTTGACTCTTTGGAGTAGCAGTCCTTGCTCTTATGGCCTTTCTTGCCGCACTTAAAGCAGTTTCCCTGGAATCCTTGCTTTGTGGCCATCACATTGTCACTCTCGCCGTTGTCTGGGGTTCTATTGCAGCTCTTCTCAGTCTCCTAGTGGTTTCTGAGAGCTGTCTTGAATTCGCAGAATGTCATTTGTGTTTCTCTCTGGGTTACCACGGTGGCAAACGTTTTGTAGGCACTAGTTAGTCCTTTTAGGGCCATGGCTACGAGCAACCCATCGCTGATCACTTCATCTCCTGCTTTCAGTGCCGTTGCAGCTTTTTCTGCTCGCAGGAGGTAGTCTGTCGTAGACTCTCCTTCTTTCATCTCTAGTGAGGTGAGTTCAGTGTAAAGCGCAATGATGCGCGGCTTGCCCTTTCCTTGGTAATGCTCTCGCAAGACTTGTAGGGCTTTTCTTCCATCATCTTTTGCCTCTCTGATCACGAGGGCCAAACTTCTATCGTCCAAACATTGGACAAGCTCGGCAAAGGCATTCGCGTTCTTTCCCGCATCGGGGGCATCTGTCTCGCCCTCTGCTGGCACTACTACTTCATGCAACTTCTGGAGGCGCATGTAGCCCAAGAACTTCACCTCCCAGAGTTCGAACTTGTTTTCATCTCCGTCAAACATGAGTGCTCTCCTGGGCCCATAACCTGTTAGGCTGAGCGATGCCGCCATAGTATTCACACAAGATAACGTATCACTCAAGTAGAAGTAACAACACTGATTTTATTTCTCTTGGTCAATCATATTTATATGCATAATTAACAAGGCATATCTTTAGCGGATCTATGTAGCAAACCAAAATGACATTCTTGGGGTATAACAGTAAAGCGATAACTAAAGCGGATTACACTGTGGTTAGACAAAGAGATTAACAAAAGATAATCGTGATAACAGAGCA